TATCATCAAAAGTGAGTTTGTATTTCAGTTGATGTTTTTGGCTGTTTTTCTTGGCACTGATTTCCTCAAGTCAAGAAAATAGATTCAAAGCTTATTCTTCAGACCAGCTTCTTCCTTTCTCCCTTCCTCCCTTCCTCTTTACTTTCCTTCCTCTCTTCTTCCCTCCTTCCTTTTCTTCCTCCATTCCTTCCTCTGTCTCTCTCTCTCATCTAGAAGATTACAGACTGTTTTAGCTTAATTTATGGGCCATCATATCCAGACTTAGATCCTACATTAATGGTTTAGGATTATTTCCCTAGGTGATATTCAGTATAGCAGAGATCCAGCACAGACAGAGTGGGTGGCTGGATTCCATGTCAAGCTGCAATGTTATTCCTGGAGGTTCTGACATTTTTACCCTGCAATTTTCCTAAGGCTGTATTGTGAAGCAGTTTTTGGAATAAAAGATTTTTGAGCTCCATTAACAAACAAAGGGAGTCCCTCCATGCCCTCCTCATACCTTATTTTCAAGGAAGAAGCCTAATCCCAGTTCCTCATTATCACATGGAGTGCTTCAATCTATTGTTTCTAAAGAGAAATTGCCTCTCTTGACAGCTTTCAGACTCAGCCAGCAAACCCATGGTGTCGGCATCACTTACAGGTCATTTATGCTTTCTTTCTGGTCCACACAGATGTTTATCTTGCCTTGCAGGCTGATTTTTGTCTTCTTAATTTTCTCTTTTCATACTTTGTCTGTTGCTGCTCTGGGTTTGAAGCGAAAGTCTTTGAGCTACTGTGATTGAAGTTCGAGTTAGTATTTTAAAATGTGAATCCACCTATATTCAGAAATGTGACAGTACAGTGGCAGTGTGAAAATGAAAGTAAAAGAACCACAAGTATGGAGCTTACACAACAATTCTCTCCTACTTCAATATTTTCTTTTGATGAATTTGTTCAATAATTGAAAGAATGAGGTAGTTTGGACTTGGACATAGAAAAACTCCAAGTTACCATTTAAAAGTCCCTAATGGTTGTTTAAAAATCAATTTGACCTCTCCCACAGTAAAAAATAAAATTAAAAAGCTTACTGTGAAATAATAAAAATTTTAAGATTGAAGAGGCATTGGAGAGAATATATTCCAAATACCCATTCAATCCAATTCACTCAGCCTCTGCTTGTATATTTATAGGAAGACTGCACACCGATTAACAAGATATCATAGTTGGGTAACTTGTAATTCTAGAAAATATTTTCTCATATGGATTTTTATTCCATCTCCTTACACACCTACTTAATGATTCTAGGTTTTCCCTCTGTGCTTAGATGCTCAACTGTGTCTGACTCTTTGCGACCGCATGGTCTGTAGCCTGCCAGGTTCCTCTGACCATGGGGATTCTCAAGGCAAGAATACTGCAGCGGTTTGCCATGCCCTCCTCCAGGGGATCTTCCCAACCTAGAGATCAAACTAGGGTTTCCTGCATTGCAGGCAAATTCTTTACCAGGTAAGCTACCAGGGAAGCAATAAAATACCACTTTTACCTCTTAAATGATATTCTATGGGACATTTGAAACTCGCTCTTCTGTTTCTTTTTTCCAGCCTAAACACTAATTACTATTAAAAAAAAAACATTATCTGTTCATTTTTTATTTGCTCATCTATTTATTCTTCTTCTAACCACACTACACTTCTTGGCAGGCAATCTTAAGGACAGAGAAAGCTATCCAAGGAGGAAGCCATCAAAAATGCTGAAATGTCAACCAGTGAACAAGTTATCACAATACTGAATTTATATTTCCACATGTAGAACTTGAAACTTCCTAGTAGAGCTATTCTAGGTATTCAGCTGGTGAGAAGTCTTACTTGTGGGTAGGGAAATGAATGTAACAAAGCTACAGAGAGATGATTTTTGTATGTATTTCCTATCCTAGATGATATCTCATGAATCCTTCTGCAAATGTCACTACATATAGAGTGTACAGTTTATGCAGAATTCTTCTTACAGTTTCATCTTCTAGCAGTTAAAAAGCAAAGACATCACTTTGCCGACAATGATCCATATACTCAAGGCTATGGTCTTTCCAATAGTCATGTATGGATGTGAGAGCTGGACCATAAAGAAGGCAGAGCATCGAAGAATTGATGCTTTGGAATTGTGGTGCTGGAGAAGACTCTTGAGAGTCCGTTGGACAGCAAGGCAATCAAACCAGTAAACCTTTAAGGAAATCAACTCTGAATACCCTTCCTCTGACGCTGAAGCTGAAGCTCCAATACTCTGGTCGCCTGATGCAAATAGCCAGCTCATTGGAAAAGATCCCATGCTGGGAAAAATTGAAGGCAGGAGAAGAGGGTGAAAGAGAATGAGATGGATGGATCGCATTATTGACTCAATGGACATGAACCTGGGCAAATTCTGAGAGATGGTCAGGGACAGGGAAGCCTGGGGTACTGCAGTCTATGGGCTCGTTAAGTGTCAGACACAACTTGGCGACTGAACAACAACAATGAAAACCAGGCTCCTATGCACTGTTCTTCAACCTCATTTCAATGAGACTTTCCCCAAAACAATGTTGGTTTTAAATCATGAGTTTTACTAGCATGTAATCTTACTGTGTGATCACTTAGATTTCCATTCTACTCTTTTTATAGTATATTTCTTTGCCACACTGCCATCATGCAGATGCCAAGCCTAAGCCAGGTTCAGGTAAAACTGGTGATGTTTCAGGAAGAAAACTAATAAGCAATGTGGGTTTGAAATCAGTACAAGGATATTAAACTCCCAACTCTGTCCTATTACTGGCTGTGAGGTGTAAAGTTACTAAATCACTCCAAACTTTGGAAAATAATACCTTCTTTACACATCTGTGTCTCTATTTCTCCCTGGGTCGCTGCTTTGCAAATAGGTTCATCTGTGCCATTTTTCTGAAGAACAAATATATGGACACTGAGAGGGGAATGATATGGGGGGATGAACTGGGAGACTGAGACGGACGTGTATACAGTAATGATACTGTGTATAAAACAGATAACTAATGAGAACCTACTATACAGCACAGGGAACTGTACTCAGGGCTCTGCGGTGACCTAACTGGGAAGGAAATCCAAAAAAGAGGGGATATATGGATACACATGTACATCTGGTTCACTTTGCTGCACGCTAAGACAACACTGTAAAGCAAATATTCTCCAATAAATTTTAAATCTACTTTATAGTATATAAGGGTGAAAGGTGAGTAGGATAACACTGGTAAACAGTCAGAAGAATCCGGAGCATCGAGTACACGTATCCTTTTTTCCTCTTGCTCTCAGCCTTTTCAAAACTATGGCAAGTGTTAAAATAAAATATATATACTGGGTCACAACAAAATGTAATTTGTTTATTAAAATTTCATAACACAAATATTGAAACAATTCATAGTAATCTCTCATCTATTTAAGCATTTTATGCAATTTATTAACAAAATATAGTTTTGTTGCATTTTTTTTTTTTTTTAGTCAGAGCCACTCCTCAGACCTGTTACAGGGTATTTCTTCGTAATTCATCTACCTGAGTTACCTTCATACAAGATTGGTCTTTTTGGTCAATTCTTTCTCAAGTATTTTTGAACGGACATGAGAGTGAATACAATCCCTTGATTTTTCTAATGAGTCCTTGTAGAAAAATTCTGAGTTCAAACCAATGGTTTATGTTTTGTATGAGGCAAATTATCCTATATTTTCCTCTTCCTCTTCTTTTTTTTGGGTTTTAATTTTAATATAAGGTATATATATTTGGGGGCTTCCCAGGTGGCACCAGTGGTAAAGAGCCCACCTGCCAATGCAGGAGACTTAAGAGACGTGGGTTCGATCTCTGAGTTGGGAAGATCCCCTGGAGGAGGGCATGGCAACGCACTCCAGTGTTCTTGCCTGGAGAATCCCATGAACAGAGGAGCCTGGTGGGCGACAGTCCATGGGGTTGCAACGACTGGGACATGACTGAGCACTCACATACACGTTTCAGAGAACATAAATTTTCTAGTTATACTTTTAAAGTCATTTTTATGAAAATATTACCTGTTTTTTCCCACCTTTAAAAGAGGATACACAATAATTACATAGTGCTTTAAATATTACATTTAGAGCTAATATTTATCTCTTTATTCACATTATTCTTTTCGGGTGGGGAGGGAACTGGAGTAAATGTGGATTTCTGGGGGCTGGCAATTTCCCGATACTGCTGGGGTAAGAAGACTAAGATAATGGCCACAGACAAAATGATTTACCCAAATGAACTAATGAACAGAATAATCAATGAGAAGAAGAGTCAGTAACTGGGCTTTCTTAGAACTAAGTGGAAAACAGTGCAAACTTAAATGAAATAAAACAAAGATCATATTTATATGAGAGTCTGTTAATCTAAACACAAACTCTTTCTAATTAAATGGTGCAAACTTAAATGAAAGAAAACAAAGATCTTCATATTTTTTGTCTCCCATATCAAAAAATTCTCAAAATTAAGCTTTTGTTTTCACACAAATAAATTCATTAGGCTCAGATTCAGGTGATTTTTCAGAACACAGGGTATCCTCCTTAGACTTTAAGTTCCAGACCAAGGAGTTGGCTCCTTCTATAGTTCTTACTGCATTTCCCAATAGGATCCTGCTTAACCAAGGTCAGTGTTTATTCTGTCTTGTTAGAGGTGTGCTGTTTTAGCAGCATTTATTATGACATTATTAAGCATATGCTTATATTCATAAGGGAGAAGGAAACTGCAGTGGAATTTAAGATGAGATTTGAGACAATGAAACCTCAAAAGAAAAGAAACTAGACCTTAGTGTTGGGACCTGGCCCTGAGAATTGATGACTCTCTGCCATGCATTCACCATCTCACGATTCTTCTCTCATGGCCTGTATTTTCCATGATCTTATTCTTTAGGAGTTAGGAACAGCATCTGATTAATATAAATTCTTAATGCCAGAGATTTAAGACACAAGATTTTAAGGCAGGTACGTTGCCGTTCTCCTAAGTTTCACAGAGAACAAACCTTCCACCCTCAGGACTCTCCCTGGCATCCCTCACATTAGCCTGTCCTTCCACAGCACTCTCCTCAGGGCACCCTTGATCTCTGCATTCCTCAGGCTGTAGATCAGCGGGTTCAGCATGGGGTTGAAAAGACTATAAAACAGGGAAAGAATCTTCTGCTGCTCCTCAGGGTGGCGGGACTTGGGGGCCATGTACATGACGATGGCACTGCCAAAGAAGAGCCCGACCACGCAGAGGTGGGAGGAGCAGGTGGAGAAGGCCTTTCCGCGGCCCTCACCTGACCGGGTCCTCAGGATGGCAGCCAGGATGCGCGCGTAGGAGAGCAGCACCAGGCCGAGGGGCCCGACCAAGACCAACACGGAAGCGGCAAAGATGACCACTTGGTTGAGCCTGGTGTCAGCACAGGCCAGCTTGAGGACAGACAGGATTTCACAGAAGAAGTGGTTGATTTCGTGAGGCCCACAGAAGGGCAGCCTCAGGATGAGACCCACATGGACCAGGGCCAGGAGGGAGCCACATGCCCAGGAAGTGACAGCTTGAACAGTGCACACTCTCCAGCTCATGATGACAGAGTAACGGAGCGGGTGGCAGATGGCCACGTACCGATCATGGGACATCACCACCAAGATGAGACACTCGGTGTGTGCAAAAGCCATGTATAAAAAGGTCTGCATTATGCATGGGACAAAGGAGATAGTATTTTTCTTGTTCAGCAGGTTCACCAGCATCTTTGGGACATTGTTTGATGCATATGAAATATCGACGATGGCCAGGTGTGAGAGGAAGAAGTACATGGGGGTGTGCAGTCTGGAGTCCAGTGAGATAAGCCCCAGGATGACCCCGTTCCCCAGCAGGGTGAGGACATAGAACAGGGAAAAGAGCCCAAAGAGGAGCGTTTGCACGCTTGGGCTGAGCGGGAATCCCAGGAGAATGAACTCTGTGACCCATGTCTGATTATCCACCATACCCTGGCGACAGTGCCGGTGCTGATCACAGCTGCTGCGGTGCCTGTGGGCTGAGAAGCAAATGCGGGTCTGGATTAGCCACTAACAGCAAGACGGCGTCTGTGGTGTGTACTGTGTGCTGACTCAGCCAACAATCGTTTGCAAATTCATCACATCACGTCTTTTAATCCGCAGTAAAGCGGAAAGACTCCCGTAAATTGGATCAGTGAACATAGGGTGTCATGTATTATTTCCATTTCTTCAGAATTTTATTTAACTCTGATTGTAAAGTTTATACTCATACTGTCAAGATGGCAGCCACAGAATAAATTGTTCTCCATGATGACTAATCATTTTAAAGAAAGGGTTTAAAGAAAATCATTCTCATTTTGCTTTCTTATTTCTTCAGTTCTCATTTGCTCATACTTTATCATTTGATTCACTCTTTTTTTAAAGCTTGTGCAGAGTACATTGCACACAGCAGTTGCTCAATAAATGATCATGGAGTAAATACACCAATAAGACAGGGAATGAGATGTACAAATGCAACTTCAAGGAGGTATATTTCCTTCTGTGTTCACCAGGTTTAAAGCTTTAGCAAAAGAAATTGCACCAAGTTTTTCCTTCCTGATACGATGCAGGAAAATCTAGATTTTTCTATTCTGGGCATAAGCAGAGTGCCATCACTGATCTGCTCAGCATTCATGGAAGTTGTTGATAATCTATGATCAGGGCAAAGATCTCTGTTATATCCCTACTCCTGCCCTACACTACCTGCTTGTAGGGCTGCTTCCCTGGTTCTAAGGAGATGTTACTTCTGGGCCCACTGCACTTGTACAGTGCATTTCTTGAATGGATGAATGGATGGATGGATAAAGGATGGATAAAATGCATTACTCTACGAATAACATCCGGAGTATATTCTGGAATTTAATCAAGTCTTTTGACTCTTCTTTAATTTTTTGGCTACCATTCCACCAACCTCATGGCCACCCAAAGTGACAAGTGTGACAGAAAGGGAGAATCTGAAATGTTCCATAAAAGCATATACCTATTACCTGACAATTCATGATAGACATGATCGTTCTCTTTGAGCAGCTTATGACCCAGCTTTGCAAATCCCAAGGCTGTCTTAAGCCCAGAAACCTGCCTGCCTTTAAGCTGGCCCTGAACTTCCCATTCAGTATGCTGATTTCTGGAGTCCTTCCTTTCTCCAGATCCCAGCTCCTCTAAATGATCACACTTGGCCAAAAGCCCTTTACTCACTGTGGCACTGGTCTGAACCCAGAGATAGGTTTACATGTACAGGAAACAGCACAGAGGCCAGGAGAGATTTTGAAGATCCAAACTGAGGCTCTGGCTCCCGCAGCTGTCTCTGAATGAGGGGATCTGCAGCTGCAGGAGCTATCCCTGCTTTTTTCACACAGGCGGATGCAGGGACTGGATCCCGCTCACTGTAAGCACCAGCAGTACAGTCTTTATGCTCATCTCTGCCCGAGTCCTCCCAGATCGTCCCCTGCGTGTCCCTGAGGGGGAGGGGACCAGGACATACAAAACACAGATGCCACCTCTAGCAGGGGAGCAAAAATTGCTTAACTCTTTGTCTCCATTTCTCTGGACTCTGGGGATGGATGTTCAGGAGAAAAGAAGCTGGCAGGTGATGACTTAATACCCAGATGGATTCATGCACATGAAAGTCATGAAGTAGTAAGAACAAACAAACTCCCAGGGTCACGTTGTAAATTACACTCCCCAGGTACTTTGCTGGTGGTGTGTTCCTGGATCTCAGGCTTACCCCAGATGGATTTAGTGGAGCTGGGAGGAAGCAGAACATCATTCTTAATGAGAGATTAACTTGAAATTGGCACTCGTTTCTTTCTCCTTTCCTCCTAAGATAACTCTAAGTTAGTGTTAACAGATAAGAACACTTCTACCAAGCTTCCTGCACTGTGCTGAGAAAGAGGCTGAGTCTTCTACAGGCTGTACCTGAAATGTGATATAGGGTGTTAGGAGAAAGGGAGGAGAGAAAGCAGAGTAGAGCTGGCCTTGAAGAGGCATCTGGTAGAAGGGCAACACAGGTCTAATTCACATCCTTAGATACACTCGGAAGTTCAGTGAGCCTTCTGATGCCTTGGACTGAGATGTTGTCTTTAGAGTCACATAATAAAACAATAGAGGGTTTCTTGAAAATTCTTATTGTCTCTCTATGTGTGTCACACCTACATACATATAAATATGTGAATGTTTGTATGTGTGTCTGTATGAGTGTGTATATTTGTATATACATTTATTTATTGGGCAAAGTTTTGGAGAGAAATAGCCAAAACTCTGTTTTAAGAACACAGCCAGTTCTTTACTGAAGAGAAGTATTGAATTGGCTAAAATGTTCATTCAAGTTTTTCCATAAAACTAATTTTTGGGCCAGCCCAGTAGATGGTTAACATATAAGCAATGTGGTTCTCTGTTAAGAAGACACAGAAGGAAATATGCCTATGGTTTTTGGTTGCCTAAACAAGGATTCATAACACATACATTTGCATGGGTAGAATACAGAAGCTCAAGGAATAATTGTCCTAAAACCTCTGGAGGAGTGATTAGAAAAGTTTAGAAGCTTTGCATGGCTAGGAAACTAGCTGAAGAACTTAACAAGGTAAAAGAAATTGACTACTCCAGACTGGGGAATTAAATAAAATACGGCCAAGATGGTTTCTAATTTCTACATAGTACTCATATGTGAATACTTAGTATCCATGATTATTCATATGAATCACAATAATTTAAACGTCATTCATTCATAATTCACTCATCAATGTATACTTACTGAGTATCTGCCGTATGTGGCCATTGTCCTCAACACTGAAGATTCAAACATTAGTGAGACATTAGCTTGATCTTCAAGGATCTTGTCATCTCCCTACAGAATGAGCCAGGCAAATAAACATTTAAGGAACTGTGATACGAGTATGCTCAGTGTACAATGGTGCTAGATGATTCTGAAAGGCGGTTGGGACACGCTTCATGGTAAATGAGATGCTTAAACCCTCTTCAATAAGATGTAGGATGAATGTGGCATGCCAGACTGTACCTGAGGGTGTGAGGAGGGCACAGCAAAAGGGTAATATCGGAAAGGGGACTCACATACAAGTTTCCCTAACACGTCAGATGTTGGACTTCATTTTAAATAATTAGAATGATATGACTAAATATGTGGTTAAATATATGGTTACACTTTTTGCTAAGCATAGAGTACTATTTAAAAGAATAAGAATGGGGACTATGAAGCAAAGCTACATGAAGGGTTATAATGTGAGAGTAAGGAGTACCTGAGTTAAGGTGGTAGCTATAGACATAGACAGGAGATAATGTATATGAAACATGTAAAAGAAACATAGGTATCAGTATTGTGACTTTTTCATGTGTGGTGAGGAGAAAAGAGAAGCCTGGATGCATCCCAGGAGTCTGACTTATGTGGCTGATACAACTCAATGTCAAAAAAAATCCCTCATTTAAAAATGGGGAGAGGACCTGAATGGACATTTGTCCAAACAAGATGTACAGATGGCCAATGAGCACATGAAAAGATGCTCAACCATCAGAGAAATGTAAATCAGAAAAACAATGAGGTATTACCTTATACTGGTCAGAATGGCTATCATCAAAATGGTCACAAATGAGAAGTGTTGGTAAGGATGTAGAGACAAGGGAATCCCAGTACACTGTTGCTGCTGCTTCTGCTGCTAAGTCGCTTCAGTCGTGTCCGACTCTTTGCGACCCCATGAATCGCAGCACACCAGGCCTCCCTGTCCATCACCAACTCCCGGAGTTGACTCAAACTCATGTCCATTGAGTCGGTGATGCCATACAACCACCTCATCCTCTGTCGTCCCCTTGTCCTCCTGCCCCCAATCCCTCCCAGCATCAGGGTCTTTTCAGTGAGTCAACTCTTCACATGAGGTGGCCAAAGTACTGGAGTTTCAGCTTCAGTGTCAGTCCTTCCAATGAACACCCAGGACTGATCTCCTTTAGGATGGACTGGTTGGATCTCCTTGCAGTCCAAGGGACTCTCAAGAGTCTTCTCCAACGCCATGGTCGCAAAGAGTCGGACACGACTGAGTGACTGAACTGACTGACTTACTGAACTGAAGCATATATTATGCAGCACAGGAAATGCAGCCAATATTTTAAAAAACTTTAAATGGAGTACAATACAGTATATAAAAATATTGGATCACTATGTTGTATATCTAAAACTAACATAATATTATAAATCAACTATACTTCAGTTTTCCAAAGACCAATATTTAAGAGATAGTGAGAGGAAGTTAATCTCCCAATGAGAGCTAAAAAAAGAGATGAATAACAAACTAGAAAATATGAATTTAAAAAAACAGTGAGCTATGTTATATATTATGCCAGGGTGCAAACTATTCACTTTAATCCTGTGAGTAATTCTAACTTTATTTTTTAGATGCAAGAATATTCTGCATAGAGCTACACTGAAGTTAATATTTATAGACACAAGTAAATGAATCCAAAGTTACTAAGAAAAAGGCATTATCATGCTTTAAGACAAACAATACTTCACATCATTTTCCATTTGCCTTGATCTGTACAAGTGTGAATGTTATTCAACATGTATAGAAAATTTAAATTTCCAAAGAGACTGTTATTAAGATGTTAACCAGAAATACAATAAAATATGCAGTGATTTCATTGTCTCCAGCCTCAAGCCTCCAGACTCTCAGGGGCTGTGAGAGGTAACACATTTTACTGCCTAGTGGCTTCCCTTTCTGCATACTTGTTATTTGGTTGCTTCCTCTCTGATATATTAACTATCGTTCCTCCATGTACCTCTCATATAGATATAGATATATATATATTAATGTTATAATTTCTCTTGTTTGCTTATATCTCCTCCGCCATTCTGTTTGTTCTTGTGGATTATATCTTTTGCTCCATTAGCTATATCAGTGGTATCTGCGAAAGAAGAAAAGGTACATGTGTATGATAAAGTTTCCTTGCTCTAAAAGAGTACTTAACACTTCAAAT